GTAGCAGTAAGCTAACGAGTACTGAAAGCTTTATTTTGTTTTGATCCAATGCTGCACAACTGAACTGATCCAATGCTGCTGTGAAAGAAAGAAGCTATATCCATGTTGGATAGAATATCCAATTTAAATAAAAAAATAACCTTAAGGGAAAACTTGAATGCTTTTTTTCTTTTTTTTCTCTTAATGCATTGCATAAAGATCGGATCGGGAAAAATCGGTATCGGCAAATTGTCAAAATCAAATGATCGGAATCGGATCGGGAGCAAAAAAAGGTGATCGGGACATCCCTAATAATAATAATAATAAACTCCTGAAGTTAAATTAAGTTAGGCTATGGCAGTGTTCGCTGCATACCTGTGGTACTGTGCTTGGAGGAACTGGAACTCATCCTTGATGCGGTCGCAGGAGTCAGAAGTGGTGAACTTGAGAGGTTGACTGGACTGACCGGATGCCTGGAGAACAGAACATGATCAGCCTTCACACAGAGACATACACTCATTGGAACTGAGCCCTGCATCCAGGTACATGCACTCAGTCTAAAATGAAGATGCACTGATACTGATTTCGGGCAGACTCAAACAGCTGGATTGGGGATCGATGACAATGGGGCAGATATATCAAATGAAATGCTTGGTTTGAATTCTGTCTACGATATACTGTGGTTTCAATTCCTTCTTAAGGTTTCACCAATTGGTGGATCCATCCCGAGTCTGAAACATTACATTTGAATGGTTAAATAGTTGCCGAACAATTTAGAAATAAAGGAATTACAGAAGACCTTTGCCGTTTCTGGTTAAGTATGTGTTGTGTTTGTTTGGAGCCAGTAGTTTGACCTCTGAGATTAACCCTTTGAGAGGATCGTTAAAATGAAGGTCAGCCTACACTGGGCTTCATGTCTGAGTGCAAGTGTAAAGTATAAATTGAGACTTAGAACACTGTGCTTGAATTTGACATCAAATTGTAACCCAGCATCTGTCTTTAAAATACCACGGTCCAAAGCATTTTAAAAAGCCAACAGAGTGCGTTGATTGAGGAAATGTGTTTAAAGAAGGAAGATTAAAACGTGCTACTGCTGACCATATGTGAGACGTATTAAGGGGCTGCATTAGAAGTCTGGTTATGTATAGACTACACTTAAACCATCAATCCAAAGCTGTAATCCTGGGGTTTATCCAGTTCCCTAAACCTCATTACTCTCTAAATAAGTGGCACAAGAGCAAGAGGTTTCCAGTGGGATTATGGGGCTGGACCGAGAGGACGGAGTCACCCTGTAGACAGTGCACTGCGTTTTAGAAGCACACTCATATAGTATGAACAATTGATTTTACATTTTAGAGTGTAAAAAAGTAGCATATATTCACACTAAGAAGTTGGAGTTTTTAGCATCTTGGCTTGAAAATGTGCACAAAAAATAAAGCAATAGTCCATAATATTGTTGATCAGCTATTATGATTATTTGTTTTTAGTTCTGCAATTCATCAACTGAAATATGCTTAGCAACGAATGTAGTAATCATTCGACTATTTTTCCAAAAACAGGATTTTCTGCTTTTCTTTGTTTTAAGTCAATTGCAAACTGGATATATTGAGATGTTTGCCTGATGGTACCTTGGAAGAGGTCTCCTTGGACTTTGGAAAACTATGATAGGAATGTATCACTATTTTCTAGCACTTGCCAGTCCAAATGAGTTGTTTCACCTCTATATATTTTTACAACCTATTTTAGAGATTAGCATGTGAACTGCTATTATATGCTCAACTATGTTGAGTTTCTTAAGTATGCACATCTTAACTGACTTGTTTATAGTTTGAAAATCACATTGTTGTTGACAAGAGACCGCTAAATTCAGTTTGTTGGCATGAATTTGTCGTTACTTCTTTTTCTTATCAACATATTAAATGTTTTGCCTTCAGCTTCTTTTTGGCGTTGATAAGCCATTGTTTTGTTTAATTTTGCCTCAAATTCAACCCTTACAAGACCCTTTAAGCTCACTTACAGACACAAACATCACTTGAAATTCGTACATTTATGAAATTTCAATAAAATACTTTGGAGATCAAATGTTCCATCCGATGCACACCAAATGATTTAGTCAAAGTCGTTAGTAATGTTATATAAGGACATTTGAATCATCCTCATATTTATGCTACATGGTTTGTTGACAGTAGAAACACTGATGTTTGCAAACCAATGCAACATATCACGCTCACTTCCTCTCCAAGCCATGAACTTAAATGAGCTGTTTTGACTAAAAGCCAGAGGTGGAAGAAGTACTCAGATATTGTACTTAAGTTAAAGTAGAAGTACCACAAAGTAGGAATACTCTGTTAAAAATACAAGTCCTGCAATCAAAATGTTACTGAAGTAAAAGTAATCTCAGTATATATATTATATTTTTGGATCATAATTATTGATGCACTAATGAGTTTATCAAAGCTGCTGCTAGTTTGAATGACTGTGTGTACTGCAGGGTAGCTTGTGAATTGTACTCCAGGTGTCTTATTAAAGTGCTGTTTATATTTCACCTTATTAATTCATATAAAGTAACTAAAAGGTAAAAAATAATTGTAGTGGAGTAAAAGCACACTATTTACCTCTGAATTGTAGTGAGGTAGAAGTATAAAGTAGCTTTACATTGAAATACTAAGGTAAAGTACAATTACCTCAAAATTGTACTGAAGAACAATACTTGAGTAAATGTGCTTGGTTACTTTACACCACTGCTAACAGCTAGCTAACGGCAGAATGTGTCTGCAGTCAAAAACAAGAAATAAAGTGCTACACCAGTATTTATATTAATGTAAAAGTACTATTTGCTATCTCTGCTTTTAATATTACGGTGCTAACGTCGTGAGGAGATGCAGAGAGGCTTTGTGAAGCTGACAGCTACTAACAGCACAGCTAGTATCAGCTGTCGGTTGCTATAGCTAGCCGTTAGCTCGTGTTGCTAGGTTGTTTAGTTTCCTACCGGGACAAGTTCAACCGGCCAACTTACCGAGTGCCTTGATTGAGGAAACATCATGTCAGCAGTGTGTTTCGCCTTTTTCCCTTTGGTCTTATCGAATCACCGGGCTAGCTGGCTAAGCTAACAGGTCCCCAGATATTATTAAATGATTGGAGACGCTATTCGCACTTTGTACTCTGTCATCGTTTAAAATAACGTTAGCTAACGTCAAAGCAGCGGGAGCCAAAGATCGTTTTCTTGTCTTTACAGTCGGTAAAAGAACCGCTGCTTCCGACGATTAATACGCTAACAAAAAATAAAAAGGTCTTCAAAGGAACATCAGGTTTTTTTGGAATAACGTTAACGTTACACCTCCCCGGGGAAACCCTGGATGTTGACACATGAGCCCCCGACTTTCCTCTGCTTTGAAGAGAAGAGCAGCATCGGAGAACGAACCGATCCGCGGAGGAGCGGGCGCCCCTTGCGACACATTGCGGAACTGAAGCCTCGTGCCGGGCTGGGCTTCTGGGGCCCCGGGACCACGTGTCCAACTTTGTCCGAGACTGCACAGCATTTTTATAATTTGTCCCACAAATTGAGACAATGTCCCCCCCTTAGCTGTGTCAGATATCAATCAATCAACAAAGAATATACATGTATTTACTTATGGGTGTAGCAGTGGAGGGTGATTCCTAAATAGTTGTTGTGACATTTTGTGACCAGAATTATTATCTCAAGCTCATGACTCAGAGATTGCAAAGAAATAATGTGGACATGTTTTGTTGGAATGGAGGACACATGTTGGATGGAAAACAAATCTATTCAAACCAAATATATGCAAATCCTATACTTAGTAAGGAGCATAGTTTGTTCAATCAAATCAAACCAAACATTGTGATTCATAAGCTAATATTTCCAATTTAAATGTAATTTATTTTTGTTAAATGGACATTATTGAAATCTAAACAATCTTTTATTATTGCAATAACACTTCCCACATTGTCCCACACAAACATACTCTTACGTGGCTTGTTGGCACCTTGTCACCCTATCGGACAAGCTGCAAAGGTGGAAGAAGTATTCAGATCCTGTTTTGGTCCTACTGTCAGAATACTACCACATGAGTAAAAGTCCTGTGATTAAAATCTCACTTGGGTACAGAAATATAGTCAGAATGATTTTCATCAGGTATCACAAGTAAAAAAAAAAAAGAAAAAAAAAAGTAGGCTACTCATTCTGCCGTAACATTCCCGTTATGTGAAATGTTTTATATTTATTGTTTTACACGGTACAATGTTATACTTCCTTACTTTTTTGTAATATTTAGGTTACTTCTTAGTAAAACATATTCTACTGGTTCAATCTTAGGTGATGCATGCTTAAAGTTGAGCATGTTTCATTTGTTTTTTTGCAAAGTTTTAATCTGAAAAGTAACTAGGGATGTCAGATAACTGTAGTGCAGAGATACATTTACCTCTGCAATGATATTGTCTAGAATTATTGAGAAGCAGAAAATGGAAATACTCTGGTAGAGTACAAGTACTTCAAAATCGTACTTGAGTTCAGTATTTGAGCAAAGGTACTTGGTTGCTTTCCAACACAGAGTTTGATAGAGGGCCGGATTATCAAAGGGCTGAGCAAGCATCAGGGGCCCCAAAGGTCCCAAAATCTAGCTGACACTCACATCTACTCAACTTGGTTCTTCATTCACCTATAACATAATTGTTATACAAAATTGTAGATTGAATTACATAAACAAGGCAATCAAATGAAAGTGACCTTTATATTGATTAAATTACAGATTTCCTTTTGAGTAAACATTCAGGGTTATGTATTTACACAATTCAACAACACACCATAGGTCGAAACGTTTTAGCAAATTTGAATGTACAAACGCAATTTGAAATATTTTTTTGTTAAATCTGAAATTATAATAAAATCACAAATCCGATACTTGTTACCATTACAAAATAGAAATACACATGATCAAGTCAGATTTCTTCAGCTACGTTTTAAAGCATCATGAAACCCACTCAACACACACACACACACCATGAGCAAGTATAGGAACAAATTTATTTCAATTTAAAACAGATACCTTGTCATTATGTTTCTCTCTTAGAAGGCGGCAATGATCATAAGTCATGTTCATGTTTGAATGAGGATCAGGCAACAGTGGTTGAAACAAATACATGAAACACATAAAAAAATATGGCAAGAGTTATGTAAATCAATAATCGATAACCAACTGATTGAACCCCCTTCATTCAGGGCTCCCTGCTTCAATGAAACATCAAAGCCCTCACTTCCAACACAAAATAAACAGCACATGCAATTATAATTACAGTTTCTTAAAAAAAAACAGCAGATTATTTTTTAAATCTTCAATCTTAAATACAGAATAAAGTCTTTGTGTGTACTTAATCAACTATCCTTTTAGTCTCTGGTGTGTTTTATTTAAAAAGGGGAGACCATCTCAGGTGGTGGTGGTGGTCCTCTGATGATGACCACAGCGTTGGCACTTAGAGAGAGCCTGGCTCTACAGAGAGTGGGGTTGGCACACTCAGTATAATACATAATTTACATTTGGTTTACATACAGAAAAAAACAGCATTTTATACACCACTACACAATTGACCTTCAGGTTTAATTGGAGTGAGGAAAAAAAAATCAAGTGGTCCTAAATAATAGAGTTCTGGTAATGTTTTCTTTATCATACAGGAAATTAAAAACACAAAAAAGGGAGTAAAATTAACGATTCGAATATGCACTGACTCCACACTGATGTTGAAAGATAATTTTGATTCCACTCATTTTAACAAGCCTGCAGGAAGAGAAATCACACAACCACGGCCACCCAAGAAGGTCACAGAGCGAGCTCCGAAACCACCAAGGGCCGGCAACACCATCTTTCATTATTCAAGGCAATGAAAGGCAATAAATAAGAGTGTGTGGTCATTGCTCAAAACAGACAAAAATGAGAAGGAGGTTGAGGTGTCTTTACAGTCTTGCCTTCCCTCTCTTCAGCGCATACATGTTGATAAAAAGTGTCGAAAGCACACAGTGCAACACTCGGCTGCTAAACTCACTACCAAACCCACACTAACAGGCAGTCAGCCCTTCACCATGTGCCATAGTTGTAGTGTCAAGTTTTAAAATACAACATGGTTCTTCACCATTAAAGTGAGTTGCACTCAACACACAGTAAATCACAACTACTGATAAATACTTGGGTTATCCATACTGGTATATCGCTCCACTTAAATACTGGCATCCACTTTATGACAGCAGGGTTAACAGTTGGCTGTCTGCTTTCTTACGCTCAAGGTTAGTGTCATTTTCAGCAGACATAATGATAGTTAAAGACCACACTGGTGCATCGAAATAACATATTTTAGCCCAATTAACATAGTGTTCAAACTTTTAATTAAGTGTATAGATTGATGCTCTTCTTTTCCCATAGCTTCTGGAGTTAGTTCATCTTCTGAGTGACAAAGTGGTTTGAAATAGGCCGCAGAGAACATTTCGTCATGTTTTGGTTTGAATGCAGGTAATGTAGTGGATAGGAATGATTTTATTTATTTTTAAAACTGCAAGGGTGCACCAATCCAAAATGCAAATCAGTTATCCATTTTAAAATCAAGGTTATAATGGTTCCACACAGTGTGGTATACAGATTTAAATTTGGTAAAAAGATTGAGGGATATTATTGGATTGGTACTCTGACCAGCTAAGAAGAAATGTACCAATTCAAACGTTTTCTCTCCTGGTACAGAGCGTCTTTGAGTGCAATAACAAGGAATCTCTGAGGCACAACTACACCAGCAATCATTGCACAAAGAAAGAAAAATGACTAAATGTCATCTGTGGCATATATTCTCTCTCAGAGTCAAGCCTTACTGGCATGAACTGAAGCCATAAGCTGCAAGTAGTAAATCAATGTAGGAACTGGAGAAATGGTCATCAATAAAGTACAAGGTTTGTAGCTAATTGGTTAAAACATGCAGAGTCCCGAGAATGGTCATTTAGTCAAATACTTGGGGAAACATGCAATACTTGTCCTGGTAGTGGTGTCTTTAGTGATAAGTGTCTTTATACTGCATTAGGTGTTACAGGTAACACTGTCATACCAAATTATTTTAACCAACAGGCCAGATGCATGAAGAAAGACATAAAGAAAAGGGTTTTAGTGTTGGCTCTCAAAATACACATCTTATGTTTACATTAACACCCTGCCTATACTTCTTATAGCACATACTGCAAGTATTCTCCATTTATAAACAAGGTTAAGTAGTGGATGACTTGGTTCACTGTGGTCCTATACTCCACTCCCCGCTGTCTGATGCCTGATGCACTGTGATAGCCCTTAATGAGGATGAAGGATAAGTCACCTGTAGAAAAGGTCAAAGACCAAAAAAGTATATCTGCACTTCACTGGCACTATCAAAGCAAGCCTCAAAAAACTGGAAATCAACAATGCAAAAACGACAACAGAAGTTTTGTGTTAAATTACAAATAGCAAGCATGGACCGCGTGGGTCTTCAATCACTGATAAAAAAGTCCACCTACGTTCGTACTGTACATTTTTCTAGGTATGCATTACAGCGCTGCGTCTATAAACCGAGAGGAAATACAAGTTTTTTTGTTTTTTTTCTTCCTTTTTGTTTTTTTTTTTAAATCAAACAAAACAAATGTGAGGGCTCCTAAAGAAAACCAAACAGTATTATCATGGATGGAGATGTGATGGCGAAGTACAACTGGAAATGTCTCAATAAGAAATAGAAAGCAGAGATAAAGTCCTTACTATACCAGACATTCGGTTTTTTTTGTCGTTTTTTTTTACAGCAGTTCAGACTCAAGTAGGCTCCGCCGTGAGAAAAGGAGCACTTCAACATGACAGAATCAAAAGCAGTCAAATTATCAACACCTTCAAACCTGGTCCATAAATTAGATAAATAAAAAAAAATCTTTAATTACTCTTAAAATCATCTCATCACCACACTGTGAAGATTTTTACCAGCCCTAGTGAGTACACTCTGGAGCCAGCGCTGGAGCGTGAGGTTGTTGGTGGAGCCTCTTCTCTCTGACTACTGCTCCATCGTTTCCTCAACAGCTCTGTGTAGTCCTATTAATAAAGTGAACAAAATCCATAATCACAGTATAACTACTACCATAAATTCATAGGAAAAAACTGTATGCTAATGAAAGAAGTTGATCATTTTTTCTTTTTTTTGTTAGTTTTTTTGCCAAAGATGGTGTACCACAGAGCGTTTTTGTACAGGAGTGTTTCGTGTATATGTATTTACAAACAAATATACACAAACAATGTTTGCAGACTTCAGAGTGTGTTTTCAGGTTTGCCCCCCCCCCCACCACCACTCAAAAGCAAGCAATCTTTATAAACAAAGTGACTATACAGTAAAAAAAAAAAAAAAGTAAACAGAAGCACATCCTGACGTGATGACTATATCACCGCCAGGGAGTGAGTCTGATTGGACGGCTGAGTGACGCAGGTGTGACGTCAGAGATGTTACCGCATGGATCCCATTCACATCCGGGGTGTGAGTGCGTTTCATTTACAGCTTTCATTTAGTTGAATAAGCTACTTGCAGCCCGAGCTGCAGATGTGCTCTTTGGGCTGATAAACACTGATGACATCACGCTCCCCTCAACAACTGCTTCCACCAATCAGAGCAGAGCCTGCGTTGAAAGCAGGGCGCTCTCTTCCGCTACTAGTGTTTTGTAATAAGGGTGTCGGGGTGCATCAGTGGAGCCAGATGCTGTGAAGGTCACATGGAAGATTGTCCCAGTGAATCTATACAGAACACATCTGGAGGGAAGCGATGTGATCGACTTAGAAAAACAATCCCACAGAAACTTTTAAAGGATACTTATGTCAAGTACATTTCTGGTTGCTTCTCTCTCAAATGTTAGTCTTTAGTTTAAATGTTTTTTTATAGATTTTCTTACCACTTCTCATCATCATTCCATTTAGCCATTATTTGATAAATATAAGTAGACGTAGCAACACATTTCTATCATTAAAAACATTTTTTTAAACTCAGCAAAGAACAGATTTTGATTAGCTATGACTTGCCCTCTCGTGCTTTTTGTCTTAAGTGTGTTACATATGCATTTACTTCATATCTATTTTTTTTTTTGCGATTGCGATGCTCACACTGTTGGGTACATTCATGGATGTGAGATGGAGACAGAATCCTCAGCCCCGACCCCTTGTGTCCGGTGTGCAACCTCACTTCCTGTCCGGGTCACTCTGTCCCAAGAAGCAACTCGCTAGTTCTTAGTAGGTTTCAGGAGAAAGAGTATTCACCTCCTTCCGCACCGATAGTAGCTCAAAGGACGAGGATCTTATCTCACACAACAGAGGGTCAACTCCGAACGGCCAAAGAGTTTGATGCAGTTATTCACCAAAACTCAGCTCCTCGCTAGTCAATACTGCCCCAAATACACACACACACACACGCACACACACACACACACACACACAAACACACACACGTACTACACACACACAAACACCAAACAAGCTGCCGAGCGACAGAGGAAGAGGGAGAGCTTTGGTGAAAGAGGAGGGGCGGCGTTTGCATGTGGGAGGTTTGCGAATGTACTGTAGTGGAGGAAAAAAAAGGTAAGGATTCTGTTGGTGTGTGTTTGTGTGCCGGCATGGTGTGCTGTGTAATGCATGTGAACTTGAGTGCACACTCCCAAAGAGGTGTGCATTTGTGCAATGGGGAGGAGATGTGCGTCGTACGTAGGGCCCTCACACCAGGTTGTACTCTTTGAGATTGAGCTGTAGGATGGTGTCTTTGACAGCTGCAAACACAAAGCGGATGTTCTCAGTGTCCGTGGCACAGGTGAAGTGAGAGTAGATGATCTTGTCGCTGTCGGGGTTTAAGTCCACAAACATCTTGAGGATGAACTCCCGCGCTGCCTGTGCATCTCTCTGTGGACCTGAGAATCAGAGATAGGCAGACACATGTAAACATATATTATAGTATTTATACAAACTGATTAAAAGGAGTAGGTCAGCACTTTTGGAAACAAGCTTATTTTTTATTGATAACGGCTGTCCTTTAACCCTAGAACTGCTAGAGCTTTTTGTATAGCTAAAACCGCCACCGGGTCAAATTGACCCGCTATTAGAATGCATTGATTTTCAAGGTAAAATGTTCTTTTATTGAACAGTGAGTTTTGATCGCACAGGGATGAAACCTATACCAATAGATTCTGTGGAGTCTCAGCTTTTCGGCTTCTTTTTCTTTTAGTTTATTAACGCTACAACATAGCGTTTCGTGAGGCGGTTGTCTGTTGGGTGAAAAGCAAACAGCTGTTTGCTGCGGAGCGCTAGCAGTCTCCCGTGAGCGGGAGCGCACTCCTTCACTACAGACTGTAGATAACCCAGACTGCAGACCCTATCTATCTATCTATAACTATCTATCTCTCAATCAATCTATCTCTATAACTATCTATCAATATATCTATCTATCTATCTATCTATCTATAAGGAAACACAGTAGACAACAGGCGTTGCTATAGCAACACGTCATGTTTATGTTTACACGCAAAATCAATAGCGCGAAAAGGGGTGGAGTCAATATGACCCGCTGGCGGAAATAGGTATAAATGGCAATTTCTTGGGCGATTTCTTCAATCTGACTTTATATTATTGACAATTTTTAACAACAGAGGGTGCTACATAACACACTTTCAGGAAAAGTCACGGACTGGGAGACTTTAATATTTTATTGAAAAAAAGTTACATATAATAAAAAAACAGCTGTGGGTAAAATTGACCCGATGGCGGTTCTAGTGTTAAAAGTGATGATTAGCTTAGCATAAAGACTGGGGAGAGGCGGCTAGCCTGGCTTGGTCCTACTCACTCAAATGTAATAATGATCACATCTTATAACATTTGTGTAATAAAAACATTAACATAAATGTAAATATATCAGAATGAGTTTTTCAAGGGAGTTAAATGCTATCAGCATTTGATAACAAGCAAGTGTTGCATCTCGCTTTACATAGATAGCAACCCGTATTCTAAGTACTGGCTAAATGGATAAAATATTGTGTCAAGAAATGTCTAAGACTCTGGAGTCAGTGTGTTTGGGCTACTGTAGTGGAAGAGGACCTGACCCATATTTATATATGAAGGGCTCATTCTGTGTTAGCAAAAACACGATTCTTAGTGTTTGGTCGTTTTACATTATGCCCCAACCTTCTTATAGATAGACAAATAAATTGATAAGGTAGCAGATAATCGACTGGTTGGTTTTAAGGTGGGAACATCAATACTATTTTATGGGTATAATCATTTCAAAGTGGTGTTTTATCATTAAAAAACACATTCACATAAACTACAGTCATTTATCTAAGGGGGCGACTCCCAAATGTACATTGCTAGATTATTCAACAGACCCACGCAAGCACACTCGTATACACACTCACAGATAAAAAGGACCTACCATCAAACTCTGGGAAATAGTCCACCAAGTGTGAGTAGGAGATCTTCTCCTCTAGCAGGTCCTTCTTGTTGAGGAAGAGGATGACGGAGGAGTTTTGAAACCAGGGGTAGGTGATGATAGTCCTGAACAGAGCTTTACTCTCCTCCATACGGTTCTGGTGTAGAAAGAACAGTCATGTTTAGTATCAACGGTTGAGACATCTTGTTTAGGTGTAAGAAGTTCATGACACATTACTGCAATACTGTTTCTATGTTTGTGTGTGAAGATACGTTTTGAATGAATGGTCATGTGTAACGTCCACCTACCTCGTTGTCGGACTCCACCAGGACCTGGTCGTACTCGCTCAGCGCCACGAGGAACATGATGGAGGTGACGTTCTCGAAGCAGTGAATCCACTTCCTCCTCTCTGACCTCTGACCCCCTACATCCACCATCCTGACGGCAGGATGAAGGGGAATGGTTGGATAATGAGTGAAGAATCAAAAAGGGGAAAACCTTGCGAGCATTTAGCTCTAGGTTGGCTAGCTTTGTTTTAGCTAGTAGTTCACATCGTCAAAAGGTATCGCCAATTTCTGGCCTAATGGATAATAATTGTTTTGAAGGTTTTGAATCCATCAAGATATATTTACAGGTAGTTTTGGACCTTATTTATTCAACTATATTCCACATATTGAATTATGCTTTGTGTAAAACAAAAAGTGTATAAGGTTCCTCTAAAATAAAAGGAACATTTTAGTTTCAGGTCCAGCTGTCCTAAAGACATTCTCTGGCGTCTTCCTGAACATATTTAGCACATGATCTAAATAAAGACATAGTCTGTCACTCTGGGACATATGAATCCATCATTTGGTCCTGATTGTCTGTTTAAAAAGAACAAAGAGAATATTTTGCAGTCCTATAGATATTTTAAGCAAACCTTTTGGAGAAAACAACAACACCTGATGGATTCAACACCTTAACAAGTGGATTAATCAAATTTAAACGTGTGCAGAACTCTATATTTGGCAGGAAACTAAAGAAACAACAAATAAACAAGAAACACACATGTGCAGTGTGAAGATGCTTTTGTCCTTGTAAATAGTTGAGCCATGCATGCCACCACAAAGATGAAAGCTTCCCGCTTCAGAGCGATGTAGGATCAGTTTTACATCAAATGCCACTCAGTTTAGGAAGGATTTACATTGTTTGTCAAAAGCCCAGTCACAGTGTCTAAGCAGAAGCCGTTGTAAGAACATTTTTAAAAAGCACGGCGCAGCAGCTTAGCAGATTGTCTGTCAGATTGTGCAAATAAAATGTGAAGGATATACATTTTTTCAAAATAAATATATGACTGGTTTTCTTAAACCAAGTGGCATTTATGTGGTCGTGGATCACATCTGATACTAGATCAGTCTGTACTTCTGTGTGTGCTATGGTGAAAGTGGAGGGTCATTCATTTATCTACTAGACAGCTTTCTCAACCTTCTCGGGACTGTGTGATAAAACACCACACAAAAACGTTCTGTGAAGTTTTGAAAAACACTTGTCAAAGACAAATGGGGTGAAAGGAAGAACATAAAGTAAAAAAGGGACAAAAAATGACATGGAGAGGGGTACAGAAACTAAGATAGTGACAGAAAGAGGACAGGTTGATGAAAGATACAGGGGGCACCTCTGATGGTGGGATCCTTTTCATTGTAGAAGAATGCCTCCTATGTAACCCAATGAGAAGCTAGAAGCTGAAAAAAGGGCATCAGAAGAAGTGTGGTATATATACACATTTCCTTAAAGACAAACTAATACAACTAACCTAGCAAAATACTGACATAAAAGCCTCAGCACATGAGCCTGAAGCGCTAAAGCCATTCATGAACAGCAATCCTGTCTGAAATACTTCCTGAATCCTCCAAAGGTTTCAGGTTCCCTGAGCTTCTCCTTCAGAAGGTCACCCTTCACTCGTCAGGGAGTTAAGGTCCCAGTTTCATTAAGCGTTCATTTGTGACAACCGATTCAATCGAATATTTCCCGTCAGGAGCCTTTAATGCCAAGCCATTACGTAAAAAGGCATATGGATAGTTTAAAGGCTATCATTCTGTATAATGTTGCACCTTTCGAATGCACTAATGCAAACCCCAAGACCAGGTGCATTATGGTCTTTGAGAGGGCTTCACAAAGTTAATATAATTCACAAGGCAATGGTGCCCCCTGGTGGTGGCCCAGTCCACTGTGGTCCACTGAGACGCGGGGCCAATATAGGCCCTGCAGGACCTGCTGCCCAAAATAACACTCCTCCACCGGAGAGGACGACCTCGTTTCTTCTGCCAGCCGGAGAGGAAAGGAGGAGAGGAGGAGGAGGAGGAGAGGAGGTGACCTATTTACAGAGACCGGGCACCAGAATGTAGGACTTTGTGTTCATTAGGGGGTTGTGTTATGTGTGGTACCATTGCTGTTGGTGACAGGAGCTAAGTGTAGGACTGAGGAACATGTTATCTGGCAATGACTTTCGTTCACATGATTAGAGGGAATGGTTATGAAGCAAGAATGGAATAGAGACACTTGAGTGCGAAAAAAAAGCATAAATTAAACGGTAACACGTTGTTTCCATTCATTGGGAGGACAAAAGCATGGTTTATGTGGCGCTTTTGACACAACATCAGATGGCGTATGGGTTAATGATGATAAAGGACGGGACTGAGCCAAAACAGGCGTCTTTCTACCTGAAAATGATGCTTTGCAAGTCGAATGGGTACTCTATGATTCCTGTAGTGGGGATGCGCACCCTGAGCACATCCTGCTGAGTGGGAAGATAGCCGGGATCTGCAATACGATCCAGATCGGAAAGATAACTACAGGCAGGCCGGTCGAGGGGAAAAAGAGAGATAAAGAGAAAAACAGACAGAAAACAGTTATATAAAGCATGACAGGCAATTACCGCAACCCCCCCTGCCAATTCAGGAAGTGTGGATCAGTCCTGTTGAGGAAGCTTCACAGAAAAGGCCACAACTCAGAAACATTAGGGTGTTAGTTAGGGTCACTGCTCCACCACTCTGTCCAAAAACCAACACAAGCTGTTAATTTGAAACTGCAGCTTTCAATTTAAGACAATTTGTGCATGTTGATTATTTTACAGACAGTGAGGTGGCAATAGTGACTGTAGTAGCAGTGACCTCAGCAGCAGAAACAGCAGCCCCTTCGTTAGATAAAGAAGGACAAGTATGATACCAAAGATAGAAGGAAGCATGATCCATACGCAAGCCATTCTAAAAAGTTCTAATTGTTTTGTATTTCAATTTTCAAACTGCTCCCGATAGCTTCTCTGATTTGACAGCTGCTTCCTGGAGAACCTTTGACATCCCTAATCCTTCTTCATCTGGTATTTAGAGGGTGCTCCCAAAACACTACAGTGCAGCATGTCTGGCTTTAGTTTAATCGTGGAGCCAGAACATTAGCATTTTACTGAACACAAACCACTGATATCTTAAATCAGGTTGACTGATGTTGCTCATTTGATCTAAACACAACATCATCTATATATTTCTCTGTAGGATAATGTTTATTATTTAAACAAAAGTAAGGGCATTTTAAAGTTTGTAATCGCGTTGGAATAGCACTGACAGGCTCCAGGGGTGTGAACTCTTGGGTACAAATAGTTTAGTAGTACTTTACAAAAGCTTAGCCCCTGCTTAACGATGAGTTCATGTCCTGACAGATATCAGTGGTTTCTGTCCTCTAGACCACTGTGATGCTGCAGTCCTGGTGCCATCGGGATACCTGAAGATGACGTTCTCCAGGTCAAACGGGTACTCTATAATACCCGTGGTGGGCACACGGACCCTCAGCACATCCTGCTGGGTGGGAACGTATCCCTCCGCAGTCACACGGTCTATATCACTAAGGTAACTGGAGATATACATGATAACAGTGTGGATAACACTAACATATAAACATATTTAATGATTTCCTTATCTTATTCACTTATACACACATGCAAAAACAAATAGCCTGCATATTTAACATAACATAGACATTTACACACATCATATATCAATGTCCTCATTTTACCATTGCAGATGTTTGTGCAGAAACCAGCTTTCTTCTACATTATGGTGATATCATTAAAAGAAATGTCTAACATCTATGCTGGAGGGGAGCACAGGACCCTAAATAACGTGCTATTCCCGCTTATATATGTACCTAACATGTGGGAATGTCTGCAGCTGTTAAGAAAAGAAAACCACCCCTAGATCATTCAAGACAATGATCTCAAACCGCCTCACTCAAGTATACGTGCCTCTTTTCTTAATGACTTTTGCAAATGAGGAGCACCTCAATCATTTGCACATATTTAATTGTGGCTAGATGGCAAGCACACCTGCATTCATGCTGACTTGAAGCAGCATTAAAGTGTAGTAATACAAATCCACAGCCAGGGGGCACTAGAGAGTGAGTAAAATGACTTTAAGCCATTTAGCCCTGGGGTCACATACATTATTACAATGCAAGTGTGGCAAACGCACAAAGCCATAGAAGAGGCGGCTGACACATTTGGGAAAAAAAGTAAAAGGCAAACCTAAATAACAGCCTTAAAATGACATCAGTAAAAGTGACCCTCTAATAGCTGGTGGAGACCGGGTATGGAACCCAAAAGACACTTGGCACTAACAAATTAGATACAAATTATTATATACTAGAGATAAACGTTCAAGGTGGACAATACCCAACAATTAAATAGCCAAATAGCAGTGACCTCGTACATTTTTCATATGGGATTGTTAAATTAGCTGGTGAATTTAGAAACTAGTCAGATGTGTGTGACAAAATGCTACCGTGTTGCATACATTACAAAACACACAAGGAAATGATTGACAGGTAATTAAACACGACCTGCAGCAACAACAACACATCCTAGTTACTAAAACTGTTGTGACCCGATCTCTAGGAACAACTCGGTCTCTGTGCCACAAATTAAACCAAACAAATATTTACACTTAACCGTGGGTTATCTAGTTTCAGAAATCATAAAAAAATGCAATATAAGTCAATCGGTACATTTGTGAACAGAAATAGTGTGACCAATATATTATTCTTTCTTGATGATGGGGACCTGATACTTTAACAAACGATCTGCATGCATGCACGTTGTCATGTTCATTTCAGCAAAGACACACCTACATTGTACAAATCCTGGATGCATTTGAGGATGCCACAAACACGCAAACAAAACGTTTCCACATAACTCATTTGTAAAAAATTCAATCCGTTTCACACAGATTAGGGAACAGATACATTACCAACTGTTGTAACCTTTAATTGGCAAAGGGATCCTAATTAAATCATTGCAAATTCAAATAAAAAATCTGGTAAATCTGTATCAGTCCCCGAACCAGCGCCATAGATAAACTCACAAAAACAACATTGGAATGCACGCAGACTTACTATTTAGTGGAGTCAGAGAGCTGGTACTCCCGGCGGCGGTCGTAGGCCTCCTGGATGCCCGGGTCGGACCAAAGGCATTTGATAGCTGCAATGAAGTGAAAGTCAAACCCACTGATCTTCTCGATGTCCACCTCCTTGACGATCATGGCGTTAGACTGGAAAACACAGGTAAGGGGAAAAAAGGTGGGTTAAAACCAGATAAAGGACAGTGGGGAGGAGCAGTGAGAGAACAGGGCAAACAAAAAAGTTGTTGCCAAGATTTTGGACATATCTGTAATCCATCTTTTGTGGAGAAAGTATTGTTTGCTGTGTATTGGTAACAATGATCTAATCTAATGCTATAATGGCGCTTAACAATAATATATGAAACAAACAAATATTGTTCTTCATCTACAACCAATATTACATACTCCAGAAGGTTGTGATTTGTTTTAATGAAAATATTTTATTATGGGGCACCACGGGGGGGGGAAAAAACAGATTTTTTTTTTAATGTAAATATGAGGCTATTTTGCTGTCAACATTAAATAAGTGATGTCATCTACACTAATTGATCTGTGGGTGGCAACAGTAAAATGCATCTTATGATTGATGTCATCTATTTGCCAAATATTGGTCCTTGTGAAATATAGTGCCGGATTTCTGTCCTAATGAGTGGTGGACTAAATGAACCTTGCATCTCAGGTGTAAATCAGTCCTCAATTAGAAGATCACAATAACAAACCTAGTCAGCTCTAAGGGACTGAAATGGAAAACCACTTTAGCATAAATTGATAGACTATAATTATGTAGTTTTATTGTGCGCCCATTGTCAGCATCTAATTCCATTTATTTGGATAAATAAAGTATATTTTGTTTAAGAGGCCACCTTAAAAATAATCAAAGGGGACTCAAACAACTGACTGGAAGGAAGTAAAGAATATTGTCTTATTTCTGTGAGTGTGTCCTTACCCGATTCTGTTCAAATTTGTAGGGGATCTTGAGGGTCTCGGTGGCGCGGATCATGGCCTGCATGGAGGTGAAGATGTTTTGGTAAACAAGCCGGATGAAGCCTCTCTTATCTTCGTCTGAGTACCCGGCTCCATGAATGATCCTCATCTGCTTGATGAAGGTGCTCTTGCCACTTTCTCCCGTACCTGGACAGAACAGGGGAGACGTACAGTTAGAGAGAGCAGCAAACTGACATCTTGGGCACAGGAGGAGGGAACGGCACATCCACAATACAAACTGATTGAGAAGACAAAGAAGCATGTAACAGGGGGTGTGATGTTGGATACAAGCATCTTAGACGATTCTGTTAAGATGCTTTTGTTACTGACAGTTTTCAGTATGTTTAGCATAATGGGCTCTACACACAGCACAGCCTAACATTCATTTATCAAAGATACCAAGATAATGGGAGGAGAGTGAGACAACAAGTGTGGCAGGACACTTTCTGTTTCTGTCCATTCTTCAGAAACCTACAGAATTCTCCGTGGCAAACTTACTGATACTGTCTCTTATCCACGCATTTAGTTTTAATCAAATCGTTTTCATGAAGAAGTAAAACATATAAATAAAAATCATTTTTTTAAAAAATCAAGCGCTTGGTAACTCATCAATTTTGGGTAATATTGGTAGCCTTAAGTGTTTGATATCCTTGTGTTAAACATGTGTAGCATCTGAGAGGAAGGAAAGGTCAATGAGTACAGAGAAACTCCTATTTCCGCATTGCCTTGTTCAAAAGGTATAAACAGAGTTTTACAGCACTGCATAGGACTTTGTACTCCAGAAGCAATATGACCATGATTCCAAGATCTGAGAAAACATTTGGTGATTTATATCTTTAATAGACACAACATTAGGTACAGCCCATCCTCAGACACAGGGGGTGGGATAATACCAGGTAATAAACTGGGAGGGGGGCACATGGCCAACAGAGATCTTTCTGTACCGTTTAGATATATCCTCTTAATGTCTCTGCATGTGTTAAAGATCCCACTTTATAGTCATGTTGACGTATACTGTCATCAGAACATTATTCCTATTGACCACTTCTTTTAGTCACCAGCCACCCATCCTCTACAAATCTCATTTGTACATTAGGGGAACAAGCCAAAATCTGTGACCCGAGACAGATGCTCCATGAAAAGGAAAAATGACCAAAACACTTGGATCCCAGTTGAGGACATCAGAGGAAACACTGCAGCCTGTTTGTGTATTTGACTTTTAGTGTACATTCATTTCTGTTAATCCGCATAAGCTGATCAAAATAAAGCCAGTAATGGTATAATACTTTGAAACTAGATTAATGTTGGACGACCATCCGAGCCAGTTATACGCGTTTTGAAATTCCAAGTTGATTAACTAAACTTGTTACGACTGCTGAAGCATCACAGCTTCTTTGTCCGACATCAGGATGTTATCCCTCAGTGTCGAGAGTGAGCAAATCAAAAGATGTTCAAACGAAGAAGAGGAGAGATGATGAGTTCTGGGAGGGGGGGGGGGTTACAGGCTAATTGAATGAAGATAATTAAGACAACTTGCCCTACATTCAGGTTCTAACACTAAAGTGCCTCTGCAGAAAGGTGACGGCAGGGGTCGTTGTCAAAAGGCTGCATTCCTCCAGTGATCCTCCTCTGCCCTCTTGAGTCCATATCTGGCTGTAAGATCATCCCTTCAAGTGGTGTCAGGTTTCCAGATTGACACATATGGCGAGGATCCCAAGAAAGGGCTTTGGATTATAGGCGTTTGCTTTAAAACATGTATTCCGCTTCTATTCACCAAAACCCCCTTGATTTCAGGGGGACAATCTGAATCTCTGCATTGAGTACGAAACACGTTTTCAAGCTTTTTCAAGACCAACAGCGACTGCCAAATAAACCCCTACTTGGCTTGGGGGGGGGTTCTGTTGGGCCTAACCCACATTTCACACTAGCCCTCTATGTTCCTCATGCCCAGAAACACCACCCTGAGGCCACACAAAAAAAAAGAAAGCTGATGGCATTTCAGTTCCTCAGTGATATCAAAAAGGATCCAGCACATCCATAATATCTGCAAAGCTGAAAGGGAAAGACGAGGAGGAAAAACACACATACACTCATCTCACCACCACCTACATTCAAGGTTTTTGAAGAGCAGCCATATTTCTGTTACCATGGCAACCCTTCTCCCTTTCTTTTTCGTTCCTGTGTTGTTTTTTTACCAGCTTTTTTTTATTTTTTTTATAGATTTGAACTCCTCCCATCCGCCCCTTCTCTCTCCACTCTTTCGTAGCAGACAGCAAATATAACTGCGAGCCCCTCATGCCTGCTCTGTGCTCTTCATCTTTCGGCTCCACAGAGACTATGAAGGTGGTGGGGTAGGGGGGTGGGGGCTGGTCTGGGGTCAGTATTGGGGGCTTTCCAACACCAAGGACTGTAGAAATGTTCGGAAGACATAGCACCTTCTCCACTGATGCAGGGAGAAAGGCCTTAATCTCAGAGACAACATGAGGGTTTCAACACTGTGTCCATATGGGGAAATGACCCTCCTCCGATTTATCATCCTAAAAAAATGCCCAATTTTGGAGAACAGAGATTAGAGATTATGATTCACTGAAAAAGATCTTTCTCCTTGGTGAATCAATGCTTTGCGGTAAAAAAGTAAAGACCGGTGCCTACAAAGACGGCAGTAGGGCTGAACGATTAATCGATTGTAAATCGAAATTGCGATTTGAAATGATGCGATTATGAAATCTCAAAGCCTGCGATTTCTTTTTACATTTTTTTTGTTTTTTCCTTCTTGTGTGTCAGTCATCCACACCAATCAGAAGTGCTGTGCTCCACATGTACCAGCCATTGTTAACCAATCAGAAGTGGCCCATGATAGAAGGTGATAGACAGATTGATCCAATCACCTGCCAAGTATTTTTGAAAGTGCCTGCCCTTTCCAAATGGCTTCCAGTGGAGCTTTCCTGGATGGTTTGGTGAAACAAACCATCTGAGTCAGGTTAGTAATGCTCCATCACATGTTTTACATCTATTACAGGGTGAATCTTAAATTGAAGCTTGACTTTAAAGCAGGGGTGGGGAACCTTTTCCCTCTCAAGGGCAATTTCAATATTTTCAACATCCTCTCCGAGGGCCGTACAAATTACTGACCTCTGCTTAAAAATACTAAAATCACAGCCCATTCATTTG